GTACTGGGAATCGAACTCACGACCTTGCACTTGCCAGGCAGGCGCTTTGCCGCTGAGCTAAATCCCCAGCCCCTGGGCTCCATGCTCTGAATTGGGAGCTGGCATCCACGCGGGCTCTTCTCTAGTGCAGAGTCAGAACCAGACTTTCCTGACGGCCCAGTGCTTCCCCGCACGCCGCATTTCAGGGGAGCGGGCGGAGAGCGACTGAGGAGCCCTTTGGGGATTTTCTTGCCCTGCCTCTTTAGTTCTTTATTCCAGGGCAGCCCTTCAGCCCCGGTTTTCTTTCCTTTTTTTATTTTTCCCCCCAGTACCTAGGACCTTCACACTGAGCTACATGCAGTCCTCCTGCCTCAGCCTCCCGGAGAGCTGGGGTAGAGGTCTGCACGCCACACCCAGCTGATTCTGACATTTCTGAAGAGCACAGCCCAGCTGTTTTGGGGAATGTCTCTGCTGGTTTCCTGATGTTCAGCTGTACCTGGGCGTGGGTTGTGCCCGCTTGGCGGAAGCTGAGGCGGCTGTGTCTTTCCCAGAGTGCAGCGTCCGAGGCGCCTGAGCTCAGCGTCCTGTCCCTGACGTCAGCCCTGACCCCTGATCAGGTGCCGTGGCCGGGTTCCACTGTGGAGCTCATCCTTCCTCTGCTCTGCGTACGCTGCACTCCTGGGAGGTCCTTGGAGACCTGATGGCAGTCCTTCACCGCCAGGTGGGGCAGCGCACACCTGCAATCCCAGCACTCTGGGAGGCTGAGGCAGGAGGATAAGTGTAAGCCCAGCCTGGGCGATTTGGCTATTTAGCAAGACCCTGCCTCAAAATAAAATTTTTACAAAGGGCTGGGGACATAGTTTTGTGCGAAGGCTCTGGGTTCAATTCCTAGTACCGCCCCCCTCAAAAATGTTCAGCCCTAAAGTTTTACATAGGTCATTTTTGGCAGTGATGGTCACTAAGCGAGTTTCTAGCCCCAGCCCTCCTCCTCCGCCGCCTGCTGCTTGGCTGTCTGTGAGGGACTTCCCTTCCGTCCGGCACAGCCCAGAGCCCCGGCGGGGGATGGACTGGGTGGGACCCGCAGGATCTGGCCAGGCCCTGAGATCCTCCCCTGGGAGTTTCTTCGCATTGTCCAGGAAATAAACGGCTGGAAAGCCAGTCTTGGAGCAAGTGCCCAGGCCGCCTGCAAGTCTGAGGCCAGGGCCACCGCTGGGCACATCTGGGCCCCATTAGCGATCCAGTGGCTACTCATGGGAGTCTTCTTAGTGCTCCGACAGAGCACAGACTGTGCTGGGCTCCGTGCCCAGCA